CACTAAACAAAACTGTTGTAAGTTGAGGACTGCCTGTACCTTCATGCTGAGGCTATATACCCTGCAGCCATTGAAGAAAGAAAATGCTTTTTAAAAAAAAAAATGTGGCCAGAAAATAATGGCCAATCTGTGTTTTAAGACTTTACAGTTGAATAACCCAGGATAAAACAGCAACCTTGCTCTAGTCTCATTATAGGTCCATTTCTCTATTTTCCACTCAATCATGTTGGAAAGTATTCCATTACTTGTTGGATGACTAACTCTGCCCTAGGTTTGGCATAACCACACCTATCACTGCATGCCCAGGCTTCCAGGAACTCAGGCTTCAAAAGCTATTCCTTTTTATTCACCATTCCCTAATTTGAGATAGGCACAAATGGTTCCTCGGAACAACATTTACTGCTCTCTTGCCTTTAGCTTGGGAATTAAATGTTCCCTACTTTGTGATGTTTTCTTTTTCTTTTAGTCACAGCTGAACCATATGCCAGATGGACTATGGCAAAATGTAAGCTATCCTGTTACATATGTAAAAACAAATGCTTCCATATTTATCTAGCACTTACATTCTTTTCATTACTAGCTTTAGAAAAGTCTCCCTCAAATTCAGCTTGACTCATGATGACTACCGTACATTGACAGGTCCAAGTTATTTTCCCGGCAGCGTCACCATCTCCACGTTCACCATCATGCCCATGTGATGTTTTTATACTGTTTTATTATGTTGTTGTAAACCGCCCAGAGTCAGGTGAGATAGATGGTGTAGAAATTTAATAAACAAGTAAAATAACCTTTTGGAGAGGTTTTTTTTTTTTTACTTTGCAATCTCTAGTGTCTAGTCTATTGGTCTAGGACAGAGGTGTCAAACTCAAGGCCCAGGGATCAGATCCGGCCCATGGGGTGCTTAGATCTGCCCTGCGGGGCTGCCCTGAAAACAGTGAAGGACTGTCCCCCAGTGCCTCTGCCAGCGAAAACGGAGTTTGAGAGGGCTGTGTGCGGCTCTCCCAAGCTCTTTTTTTGCTGGCAGAGGGATGCAGGAGGCCATCGCAGCAGAAAATGGAGCTCATGAGGGTTGCAGGTGGCACTCCCAACTCAATTTTTGCTGGCAGAGGGTTGTAGGAAGCCGTCACATCCCAAAACAGAGCTCATGACATGAGGGCTGCGGGCAGTACTCCCAAGCTCCATTTTTACTGGCAGAGTATTGCAGGAGACCATCGCAGCCGAAACGGAGCTTGGGAGCCAATTTTCACTGGCAGAGCGCTCAGGTCATCATAGACATCCCGGACATGAGTGACATCGAGCTGTCATGTCCACCCCAGTGCCCCAAGGTCAAACACAACCCTGATGTGGCTCTCAATGAAATGACACCTCTGGTCTAGGATTTCTCCTTGTGTTCTCCTTAGGAATGAAGGCAAATATATGTGTTCAAGGACAATGTTGCATATAACTGGGACCAGAAGTTTAGTCTTCTGAGCTTTCAGACTCATGCTGGAGCCCATCCTCAGGGAATTTCTCTCCACCAGAATGGACATTGCGCTCCAGCACAAGTCCAAAAGCTTGGAAAACTAAACTTCTGGTCCTGGTGTAGCAATAGCAATAGCAATAGCAATAGCAGTAGACTTATATACCGCTTCATAGGCCTTTCAGGCCTCTCTAAGCGGTTTACAGAGAGTCAGCATATTGCCCCCAACAATCTGGGTCCTCATTTTACCCACCTCGGAAGGATGGAAGGCTGAGTCAACCCTGAGCCGGTGAGATTTGAACCGCTGACGTGCTGATCTAGCAGTAGCCTGCAGTGCTGCATTTAACCACTGCGCCACCTTGGCTCTGGTGTAGGAAGTTATCACCCAGCCCTCTCCCAGAAAAATGAAATATCCTAGGAAATATTGAAAAGGCAGAATATTTATCTGGATGTGAAAAGAAAGAAACATGTTTTAAAAGACAGAATAGCTTCCTGTAGCTTCCTGCCCATCCCCACTTTGTCAATGGGCCATTAAGAAGGCCAAACTAGTCCACTTTACATAATAAAGACTTCTCCACTTCAGCTCCAGGGGGATGGGATTAAAGCATGATAATATTGGCCCCAACTCACCACATGGCATCTGAGAACTCAACCAAACCTGGATTCAAAACGCAGCCTAGAGAGTTGCCCCTGCATGGCCCTATGGGAGTCTGACAACCAATCAGAATACATTTCCTACACAGGAACAGGAAACAGAGAGGTGGGACTGAACAGGTTATAAAAAGCCTAGCAAGCCCCTCCCTCAGCCCTTCTCTTCTTCTCCACCAACATTAAAACATGTGATCACCTTTTCTGTTCAGAGCTCAAGCCATGTGGTCCTGTCCACCAATAAACCATCTTTCCAAGCAGCCTCCATGTCTCCAGTGTCTTTTTCCCCACTTGCAGCCGAATCCAGAAGGACATTTCTTTCATCACTGGTGACCGACACAGATTGAATCCTGTTTTCCTTAGCTTTTTCAGGATCAGCCAAAATTGACAAGTTGCTGCCATCTGGGAATTATTAATATTTCTGGATATAGAGGGCCCCTTAAATTATCTCCACCATAAAAAAGAGAGTCTTATTTTTTTCTGTCTGGCTTTATTAAAGATATTAACATGATCCTTTTTTGTATGAAACCTCAACATTTTGTAACTGCCCTCCTCAAAACAAGCTCCTTTTCCAAAATTACCACTAACCTAAAACCATGAGAGTCAGTTATACCTTAAATTACCTTGTGTTTATATGTTTTCATCCTGGAGTTTTTCCAAAACATCCCAAAATTAAAGTTTGGTGATAAGCCCTGAAATCTCTAGTTGAACTCTCTATCGGAGAATTGTAGTTCTTGTGGGAATTAACAGTTTAAAAGTCTCTAATCCAGATTATCACCATAGAAATTAGCATGACCACTCTAAAAATAAGCATGACAAGGTCTTCCAAACAAGATTTCTGAAGATCGTGAGAGATTTTTTTGATTATGTCATATTTTTTTAACATGATGAAATACATGATCTAAAAATGTTCACCTAGTTGTCTAATTTAATATCTACCTTAATCTCATTGATCCTCACTGTAGATTAACCAGAACTGAAATTAAAAAGTGAAGGTTAACACCTGACACTGATACATGTAAATTGCTGTTACAACCAGGGTTGCCACTTCTAGAAATGGGCCACAGTTCCGCAGGACAATACATATTTTCTTTCTAGACGGGATCTTAGCAACTTGGAGCTCTCAAACTCTTCTGCAACTTGGAGTCCTTTTCAATTACATTTTTTAGTGGTGCAGCAACACGACTGCCATGATTAATATTGATGTTTGCAAGTACTTTGAACGAGAAAATCCATTGAAAATTTAAAAAGAAGTACACAACCTTTGCCCCCACAATGCTTAACCTTGGTGAAATGCAACCCCAAACAGCTGGCATCATTGACCATTCACTGTACCTTGGCTAGGGAATTCTGGGAATTGAAGGGCACAAATCATAAGACTAAGGAAGAAAGCCTTGATTGAGATATGTAAGCTCCATTGCCTAGATCTCAACCTCAGCCACCTTATGATATGTGGATTTCACCTCTTAGAATCTTAAAATTGCTGAGGTTGAAAAACTCAAAAGGGACTAAAGCATTTGTTAAGTACATAATAGCTAGGTAACATATGGCAGTGGCTCAGATATTTTCATAATTCATTGAACTATAAGGAAGAGGTACAGCACAATTAGATTTGCAAGATTCTGTAGGAAGTTACCCCCCCCCCAAATGAAATACCCTGGGAAATATTGAAAAAGCAGAATATTATATTTCACTGAATAAGAAATGGAGAAACATGTTTTTAGGCAGGAAGCAGACTCACTCTTAATAGCCCTCACCTTTGTTAATGGGACACTAAAAGGCCTGACCAATCTATTCTATATAACAAAGATCTCCCCCTTCAACTCCAGTGGGATGGGATTAAGGCATGATAGTATTAGCCCTTTGCCCATCACACCACAGGATACCTGGGAAGAAGCAATGCTCAACCAAACTTGGACTCAAAGCACAGCCTACAGAGTTGCCCCTACATAGCCCCATGGGAGTCTGACAACCAATCAGAATACAAGATCAAGGCCAGAGAAGTCATAAAATCGGAGACTTTCAGCATCTCTCTCTTTCTCTTTTCTTCTTCAACCAACATCTGGAAGCATGTGAGCTCCCTTTTCTGTTCAGGAACTCAAGCCATGTGATCCTGTCCACCATTAAACCATCTTTCCAAGCGCTTCCATGTTTCCAATGCCTTTTTTCCCACTTAGAACTGAACCCAGAAGGACATTTCTTCCAACAATTCTTATATTATAGCCTATTGAAATATGATTATAGAATATAGATACCACATGAAATTGATTTCATGGTGTGGTCTACATCGTGGGGCTGATTTTTTTTTGATTTCTCAGTTCTATTTCTGGCGGTCTGCCATTCAAATGTTATCCAGGTCCAGCCCTTAACTTTTCTGTCCCCCCCCACAGCTTATACGCAGTAACCCTGCTTCAAATTATATACAGGTAGTCTTCAATTTAGAACCACAATTGGGACCAGAATATCCATTGCTAAGCAAAGCGCTTGTTAAATGAGTCATGCCATGTCTTTACTGCTATTGTTCATAGAGAGGATTTTTTGATTTAAAAAAGTTTCAGTTGGGGAATGAAGCAAACAATGTGTACAATAGTCAGATGCAACACAACAACGCGCACAATAATCAGATCGTACATGGCTGTGGTGCACCATATCAGATGCAACACAATGCAATAGCAAGGACCTGAAACAAACTTTATTCTTGATAATATAAAAAGGCAAGACGCTCAACCAATGGGGCACGATCCGGCACGGAGCTCGTGGGCTGGACTTTCATCTTGCAGCTCAGAGCAGGAACCGAGACGGATTCCCCCCTCCTCCTCCAGGAGGGAGGAGCTTTGCCCGTGATGTCATCTCTATGCGCCCGGCTTTTTTTTTGCGTCGCGTCCTTTCCCTTGGCAGCGTGTTTCTGATCCTCGATTCCACGGAGAAGGGAATGGAAGAGAGCCGGAGCGTCCCGTCGGGATCGGGCGCCGACCCGGTGCGCAGCTTCGAGCGCTGGAAGAACAGATACGCCAAGCGCAAAGACAAGCTGCGGCAGCGGCGTAAGCAAAAGAAACCGGAGTGGGAAGTGGAGAGGGAGACGATCGCCGCCTTGGAAAAGCGCTTCTCGGAGGTGAGAATAAATGCTTATTCTGGTTGGCAGAGATTGCCTTGTTCTTGGATTGCTTTTGTCTCCCAGAATGACTTTAGAAATAAAGAAGACATCAATTAAAAAAAAGGATGTCCTAGAGCAGGGGTCTTCCAACCTTCGCAACTTTAAGCCTGGTGGACTTCAACCCCCAGAATTCCCCAGCTAGCGAAGCTCCCAGAGCTGACTGGGGAATTCTGGGAGTTGAAGTCCGCCAGACTTAAAGTTGCCAAAGTTGGAAGACCCCTGTCCTAGAGTATGCACCAAGTGCCTCTCTTCAACATATTACTACGGTAAAGGTTCCCCTGCATACATGTGCTAGTCGTTCCCGACTCTTGGGGGCGGTGCTCATCTCCGTTTCAAAGCCGAAGTGTCAGTGCTGTCCGAAGTTGTTCTTCGTGGTCATGACTAAATGCCGAAGGCGCACGGAACGCTGTTACCTTCCCAACAAAGGTGGCTCCTATTTTTCTACTTGCATTTTTACGTGCTTTCGAACGGCTAGGTTGGCAGAAGCTGGGACAAGTAACGGGAGCTCACTTTGTTACGCAGCGCTAGGGATTTGAACTGCCGAACTGCCAACCTTTCTGATTGACAAGCTCAGCATCTTAGCCACTGAGCCATCACGTCTCTATTACATTTTACTACGTATCACTAATTTGGATATTCCCGGTTGGGGAAAAGCTTAACGATTGTGGCGAGAGAATCACATCATTACTGGTTGCGTAGGGAATAAGGAGGGAATTCCTAACTATCCACCCAAGTAAGTGACCAATTAAGGGATTCAGTGCTAATAAACTTTGCAGGTTGTCAGTTGTGTGTGTGTGAGAATAGGAACAAGGATTATTACACAAGAAGTCCTCAACTTATGACCGCAATTGACGCCAATTTATGTTGGTAAGTGAGAAATTTGTGAAGTGAGTTTTGCTCCATTTTACCATGTTTCTTTCCAATTTGTTAAGTGAATCACAGCAGTTATTAAATTGATAACACGGTTGTTAAATGACTGGCTTCCCCATTGACTTTACCCGTCAGAAGGTGATCCCATGACCCCAGGACACTGCAACTGTCATAAATATGAACCAGTTGCCATGCATCCAAATCTTGGCTATGTACCATGGGGATGTTGCAACAGTGATAAGTGGGGAAAAGTCATTTTTTTCGGTGATGTAACTTTGAACAGTCATTGAACGAACTGTTGTAAGTCAAGGAATACCTGTATATGCTATTTTAAGCTATTTTATGTCAGATTAGAATTTTAATAAATTGGACTGAAAGTTCATGCCATGTGACACACAGTAAGGTGGCATAGGATTGCTTTCAGACAGGGGTATCAAACTCAAGACCCATGAGCCGGATCTGGCCTGCGGATGCTTAGATCTGGCTCGCGGGGCCACCCTGGAAACAGCAAAGGATCAGTCTGGGGTACCTCTCCAGCGAAAGTGGAGCTTGGGAGGGCCTCCTGTAGCCCCCCCCCCCAAGCTCTGTTTATTAGGCCTTAATATTAAATGGAAATGATTTGCAATGATGTAGCTTCCTACCTGGAGAGGTGTGGTTCTCCTCCCCCCCCCCCCATGGTTGATTTTAAATGACCTAATGAAAACAGTGGTTCCTCATCCAGGTTTTGGATATGTAGTAGCACATCCTTGGGATTGTTGAGGAGGGAGGGGGGTTGCATTGTTTTTTGCTTGTAGATTTGTCAATTATTCCTTAAATAAGCATTTAAACAGGCTTGCCTGTCATAATCAGATATGACCATTTATGGAATGTGACATGTGGCCTCTTGTTCTAGAAAACGCAGGTTAATAATTAGAACCTTAAAGAATACCTCTACTTTATTCGGAGAGATGAAGGTCGGTGGGGGGGATTCAGATGTAATGCTAGACAAGCAGTAATCAAGGTTCTAAGTTTAATTCCTCCTGGTGAAAGGGCACCAAACAAGAGCAATTGGGCACCAGTATATTCATATGTTGACAAGTCAACTTTGCTGCTTCTTTCTGGTTTGTGTAGATCTCACATATATTGTCAGCACTATACATTTCAGTTTAATTGTAGACTAAAATTGCTGCTTAGGAAAGACTAGTACATCAGAACCAAAGATAGATTTTGTAGATTTTAGGGGGAAATTTGGATTTTGGATTTTACTTTATTTATATGCCGCCCTTTTCCCTGAGGGGACTCAGGGCGGCTCACAATCCAGGGGGAGGGAAGTACAAGACAAAGTACACACATGAAGACAATACATCGTTAAAAAACGCAACAGTCATATTATTCGGGTGGGGTTGAAGTCTTTAGCCCCAGGCTTGTCGGGACAGCCAGGTTTTAAGGGCTATGCGGAAGGTCTGGAGGGTGGTGAGGGTACGAATCTCCACGGGGAGTTCGTTCCATAGGGTCGGAGCAGCCACCGAGAAGGCTCTCCTCCAGGTAGTTGCCAGTCAACATTGACCGGCTGATGGAATTCGGAGGAGGCCTAATCTATGCGATCTTATTGGCCTAGTGGAGGTAATTGGCAGTAGGCGGTCTCTCAAGTACCCATATCCAATACCATGAAAGGGAATACTATGGTTGGCCGAAGTATTGACATAATAGTGAGATATCAATTTATGACAGCTGTTCTATACGAGAACTAGGTGGTCGTACTAGTCAGTAGGTCCTAACAGTGGGATTGGCTAAACTGTCAAATTCTCTGCATCAATAGTTGGCGATGACACAATTTTAAAAAGGTTAGCCTGATATATGCTCTAGGCCAGGGATCACTAACCACTAATATGATCTGCCTAATGACTGGCTGATAGGCATGGCTAGGTGGTTACGTGAGTGGTGGGCGTTGCCAACTCGATGTCACTCATGTTGAGGGGCGCCTCGCCAGAGGAAATTTTAGTGGTCTGCAGAAAAATTATTTGCATTTTTTATGTTGCACTAAATCAGGAGTCCTCAAACAATGGCCCTGGGTCGGATATGTGCAATGAATGTTTGTGTTGCTGCAGAGAGTCTGCCCCTTCTGGGTCTTTTTGTGTGGGTCAGAGGGGGGCAGAAATTCCGACTTGGGGCTTGCTTCAGCTTCCTGGTGGGGGGCTTTGGGCGAAGGCTGGAGGGAAACGCTGCTGGTGATGAAGGACTGGAGGGCCTTGTTCCAGTGGGACTGCATCATAGCCTGGAACTGGCTGACCATCTCAGCCTGCTGAGCCTCCAGGCGCCAGTACTTGGCCTTGCAGTCCCGCAGGTCTTCCCTCTGCTTGGAAAGCCTATGCTCGTAGTCCTCAGTGAGGTGCTTCTGCTGAGCCTCTGTCTCGGTCAGATCCAATTTGAACTGAGCTGTTTTACCAACTCTTTAGGGGTGGCACTTAGCTCCAACAACTGCTTCCTGTTGGCGCCTTAATGAGTCTGGGCGGGCAGGAGAAGAGTGGCTGGGAGAGGAGGAGTGAGTCGAGGTCGGTGAGCTGCCCCTCGACATGAGTGACATTGAGTTGGCCACGCCCACCCAGTCACATGACCACCTAGCCAAACCCATCCAGCAAGTCATTAGGCAGATCATATTAGTGGTCCTTGGGATTTGAAATTATGAATTTAGTGGTTCCTGAGGTCTGAAAGGTTGGTGACCTCTGATCAAGTCAACCACATAGATTTTCCTTCATGACGATCTGTCCTGTACCTGGTCTTCCAATAATGCACTCATCACCATAGTAACTGAGTCCATCCTCTTTGCTTTTGGTTGTCCTCTTCTCTTTCCTTCCAGCATTAGAGTTTTCTCCAGAGAATTGGGCCTTCAAATAATGCTTCTGAAATAGGATGATTTGAGCCTTGAGTGAGAAGTGTGAATTGATTTGTTTAATGATCCACTTGTTTATTTTCTTGGCTCTTCATGGTATTTGCAGGAGTGTTTTTTTCTTGTTTTCTTTAAAACTCAAGCACCCAGGTTGGCATAGAACTGAAAAGGAACCTCCTGGTGTCTGAATTTGGGAAAAGTACACTAACTTTGCAACAATATGAACCACAAGTACTTCAGGAAAAGTGGGAAAAACTATTTGTGTATGTGTGTGTGTGTGGGGGGGGTGTTCAAATCTTTATATAGGATACAGAAACAAGCAATGCATTCAGTATATGTAATATGTCAGAAAGCAACAATAAAACATTGATGAGACATGAGAAAAGACTTATTACACCTTCTCCTTTCCCATCTGGCTTGTTTCTTTATCACTTGCAACTCCCAAGGCCTTCCATGGCCTTGTTATTTAGTTTATAAAAAGGTCAATTTTTAAAAAAAACAAAGAAATGGCTTTTCCAAAAGGAAAACATTGTTTCCTGAACTTCGAAAGTGGATGCCATGCTAAAATATTGATGTCGCCTTTACTTAAAAGGTAATAATAAACCTTAAAATTCCAGGTAACTTTTAACACCTGCCAAAAGCATCAATATTTCACTCCTATGCACAAGAGGAACATAATTTCATATTTATTTAATGTTAATAGATCTTTTTTTTTTCTTCAGAGCTTCTCTTTGAAGGCAAAAATTATTTTAAGTGCTTTCAAAATTAAATCTAACTGGCTGTGTGATGAAAGTTAGAGTCAGCAGGAAAATGTTTTAAGTTGATAAGCTTATAACAGTGATGGCTAACCTTTTTCTCCTCGTGTACTGACAACGCATGTGTGCGCAACAGCATTCGTGTGCATGCCCACACACATGATGCAATGTGCCACGTGCTCCCACAGCCCCCCCACGTGCCAACACCCCCCTTGCTCCCCATGCATGCACGTCATACCCTGCACCCCATTTTGGGCCTAGCAGGTCTCCCTGAAGCCTCCTGAAACCAAAAATGGGGGCACGCTTCACACCTCTGCTCCCCCCGTGCATGCACATATGTCTCCTGCATGTGCGGCAGAGATCCCAAAACCAGCTGGCCAGTGGGAGGTGGGTGTGCATGTGTGGTGGAGATAAGCTGGGCAACGGCTCATGTGCCCACAGAGGGGGCTCTGCGTGCCAACTGTGGCACACATGCCTTTGGTTTGCCATCACAGACCTATAACATGGAATCTTAATTTATATGCATGTTATACAGTATCTGAAGTGGAAATATTTAGATAAATATTTGGTTATATTACAGATACTAAGTGAAGCCCACCTGTAATCAGTTTGTGTTTCTGCATTTAGGCAAACAAGTATTGGACATTAGATACTTATTTGGGAAAAATAGATTGAAATATGTGGAGATGGCATTACTTTCCTTGTACATAAGTACAGTTATGTTCTTGCATCTCATTTTGGAAAGCTGCACGTTGATTAAAGTGAGTGGGTTGCACCTAATGGGGAAAAGGAGGGCTTTAGAAATGGGAAAAAAATTACAGCTATCAGAAATTCAACTTAGATTTTCTAGCACGTACAGCAACAGCGACCAACTCTTTTTCTGTTCCAAATCTATTTCTCAGAGCTTCTCTGTTGGCGCTGATGCTACGGGGTGGGGTAAGAGTAAGGTTCTACATTTAGGCAAGAAAAACGAAATGCACAGGC